CCTCATCCCAAACTAATGATATGGCTGGTCACGAAGCACATCCAGGTTTAGTGTTTGGGTCAGAAACACACTCATCCCATTCACTGGAAGAAAATTTTCCATAAGCCAATGGCAAGCCAATATGGTTATCTTCATATGAAAAGAACAGTACATGATTCTTTGGGGCTTCTGATAGAATCCTAGTCCTCACCTGTTCTCAAAATTCTGGTGCCTAGGAATTATCTAGGTCAGAGGTCACAAACCAGTGGCACAGGATGGGGGCGGGAGGTTCTATTCAGCCTGAAGACATATTTGGTCTGGGACTCCATAGTGTATTTTAAAAAATTAGTTGTCAACATTAAATATCAAAACACAAAAATCCAAGTATCCAGCTGCTCTTGAAAAACACGAAGACTAGGGCACCTGGGTGGCCTCAGTCAGTTAAGCATCCGATCCTTCGTTTCAGCTCAGGTCGTGATCTCTGAGTCATGAGATCCAGCCCTGCTGTGGGCTCCATGCTCAGCAGGGAGTCTGCTTGTCCTTGTCCCTCTCCCTCAGCACCTCCTCCCCTCCCACCCCTGCTCACACACTCTCCCACCCTCTAAACTATATAAATAAAATCTTAAAAAAAAGAAAAACATGAAGACCTTAGCCCTGCTGCCCACTCTCCCCAAAGCAATCATGCCATATCTGGAGTGGAGAGAAGCCAAGAGCCTAAGATGGGAGCCATGGTCTCTCTAGAGAATCTTACTCAGCATTCTTGGCTCCTTTGGGCTAAGGTCCTGGCCCCTGCGGGCATCTGCCTTTATGACGCCTGATATAAGATCATTTCTTCACTTGACAATGAGGAAACAGGCTGAAAACAGAATTGCTGGAAGTCACACAGTTCACTACGGCACCAGGGTGAGGGTGAGCAGGACAGGAGTCCTGGGCCTCAGCAAGCGTCCTGTCCACCGTAACTCTCAAAAGTCAATGCCATGATATCCTGCCCAGTCCAGGAAGGACTTGGGCACAGCAGAGCAGGAGGCGACCGGCATGAGAGACGGGCCACAGAAGCAGGACTTCTGAGTATAGGCTTTGCAAAGGAAGACTCGGGTGGCAGCACTTGGGAGATTCCCACCTTCCCTTTCAAAGTCCAGACACCTTGGCAGACAGTTCCTGACTTCAGCTGCCGAATCTCTCACTGGTCCGTCTACCTGTCACCCTGCTGCTTCTGATCCCTGCATCGGGCCCTCCGTGCCTCTTGCCTGGATTAACACAATAGTCCCCTCACTTATCCCCCTTGCTCTGGCCCTGCTGATTCTGATCCTTCGCAAAGCCACTAGAATGATCTTCCCGAAACAAACATCTAGTCTGCCCATTCTCCCAGTGATCTTCCACTGCTCTCCTCCCTCATGGAGCCCACGCTCCTCAGCATGTTTTATAAGAAGTCCTGCGGGACCCACCCCAGCTTACATTTCTGGCCACATCGTCTCTTGTTGCTCTCCCCGTCAAGGCCCTGGCCACCTTGCACCTCTGGAATGGACGGCTCCTTCTGTCTGGAACATTGCCACCTCCACTGGCGGACTCCAACTCAGCCTCCGTTTGGATCTGTCTTCTTCAGGACGTCCCTTCCTCCCATCCCCAGACTAGGTGAATCCCACTGGGAGGGGACACCCCCATCACAGAACCTAAAGAATCTGCATCTTTAATTAACTGTCATTCCTGCTGGTCTGTAAGTGCTGGGATTCACAGGTCCTATGTCTGGTTCACAGATATGGCGGCACATAGTAGTAGGTACCTTATAAAAGTTTACCCACTAAATGAATGAAAAGATGAATGAATACTAAGGATGGAGCAGAAGAATGAAGAAAGTCACAATGTCCGGTCATTCTAGACAGGCAAGCCATGGCTTTTCCGGTCTCAGTTTCCACATGTGTACTTTACAAAGAAGACTGGACAATACACCTCAACACCCCAAGACCAAATAATCCCACTAAAAAAGAGGCAAAAGACATGAACAGGTATTTCTCCAAAGATGACATCCAGATGGCCACAGATGCAAGAAAAGATGCTCATCAACACTCATTCATCATCAGGGAACAGCAAATCAAAGCCACAATGAGATATCACCATGCACCTGTCAGAATGGCTAAAATCAACAACACAAGAAACAACAGGTGTTGGCGAGGATGCTGAGAAAGGGGAACCCTTGTGCACTGTTAGGTAGGAATGCAAACTGGTGCAGCCACTCTGGGAGACAGTATGGAGGTTCCTCAGAAAGTTAAAAATAGAGCTTCCCTACGATCCAGCAATCGCACTACTGGGTATTTACCCCCAAAATACAAAAATACTAATTCAAAGGGATACATGCACCCCAATGTTTGGACCAGCATTATTTACAATAGCCAAGTTATGGAGGCAGCCCAAGTGTCCATCAAAAGATCAACGGATAAAGAAGTTGTGGTACATATATACAGTGGAATATTACTCAGCGATAAAAAGAATGAAATCTGGCCATTTGCAATGACATGGATGGAGCTAGAGAGTATCATGCTAAGAGAAGTCATTTAGTCAGTGAAAGACAAATACTGTACGATTTCACTCATATATGGAATTTAAGAAACCAAACAAATGAGCAAAGTTAAAAATAAACAGACAGAGAGAGATATCAAGAAATAGACTCTGAACTACAGAGAACAGACTGCTGGTTACCAGAGGGAAAGAGGGGGCGGGAAATGGACGGATGAAACAGGTGATAGGGATTAAGGAGTGCACCTGTGGTGATGAGTGCCAGGTGATGTGTGGAAAAGTTGAGTCACTATATTGTACCTGAACTAGTATTACACTGTATGTTAACTATACGGGAATTACAATGAAAAACTTAATTAAAAAAAGAAGACTGGACAAGATCATTTCTTCTCACTCAGGGTAGGGTCTCTGGACTTCTGTAGGGCCTATGGAAGAGAGCAGCAACATTTTAGGAGCGATGTGCAATATTTCAAACTCCCCAAGGGGAACCACGCACCTTCCCGTAACAAGGGGCCAAAGGCCAACCAAGCCTCGGGCGACTTGGCATTAAGAACGTGTTAATTAGTAGGCAATGCTGGTTAGCTCCTACTGAGTAAGGTCAAGATGCTATTTGAGATGCTATTAGAGGTGACCGGCATGGGAGATTAATAGCATTTTTGATCAATACAACATAGGAACAGAACACAGAAACAATCTGTTACTGTGTGTTTTTTTTAAAACATGAGGCCCATGAGATAAAATAATAAAAGAGTTTGGAGGTGGGGAGCAGACCACAGATCCTTAGGAGAGGGCCAGTTCACCTCCAACTCCTTGGAATGAAGGCCCCTCAGGGGCTCCTGCAGAAGAGCCCCTTAGCGGGGAGGACGGGGCTGCAGTCTAATCCTCAAGCCTCTCTTTTCTTGGTGGAGGGCGGCCCCCACCATCTGTTCCTTTGGGAAGGCCTCGCCCCCATCCCCGCCCCCAGACTCCCAGAGCTTGTGATGCTGCAGGCTGTGGGGGCTTCCGAATCTCCCGGAATCAGGCGCTGAAAGCACGGTCTGGCCACACGGGGGCGCCCTCAGCCCACACACGGGGATTCCGAGGCCCAGCACAGCCCATGCTCTTTGGGAAGACACCTCCCATCCTCCCTGGTTGGGGGTCATGCCGCCCCAGCGCAGCGGACAGAGGCAGGAAAGGGCTCCTCCCGCTCACAGGGGAGGGACTGAAGTTAGGAAATCCTACAGAGACAGTAAGAGGAAGACTGAGACAGAGACAGACAGAGTGAGGGGAGGGCAAGAGAGCAGGAGAGAAAGAACTCTATTCTATTCCTGCCCTGTCTGGGGACAGTCAGTAACCCCAGAGTAGCCAGGCAAGTATGGAGCTGGGCGCCTGCCCACCTGGAGTCTGACAGACACTGGTTCCAATCTTGGAGCAAAGCCGTGTGGACAGGAGCAGGGGACTCTGCTTCTCCGAGCCTCGCTGTTGCCCACAATAAAAGGGGGGAACCCTGCCAGCCTTTCGGGCTTGATGTGTGGATCCAGCAGGATAATTAGTAAGTGCAAACCATCTCTCCCGGTACCTGGACTCAGGCACGTATCACCCAGCAGCAGAGAGAATTCATGCCGACAAAAGCCAGAAATAAAGGATTAAAAAAAAAAAAAAAAAAGGCTTGACCAGTTACATCTTGATTTACACCTTGTGACTTTAGTTTAGCCGCACGGGGACTGTCGGGCTGTATGAATTCAGCAGTCCCTTTCCGTCCAGACTGGTTGTCATTCCATAACAAATGTCGCTCCCCACACAGCTCTCCAGCCTTCCATGGGCTGAGGGCCTTCTCCAGCCGCTGGACGGCCGCCCTGCCATGTGGGCAGAGCTGGGACGGGTCACTGGAGAGTCATAGAGGCAGCTGAGACGGCGACTCAGCCCACGGCTCTGCAGTCGGACTGGCTGACCCTGGCCTCCACGTGGGTCAGTGTAACCGTGGGCTCGCAGCTCCCGATCTCAGCCCCACGCACTCCCGTCTGGGAAATGAAGGTAATAATAGTGGCCGGCCCAGGGACTGCAGCGGGTGGGAATGAACTCCTACTCGTCAGGCACTCAGAACAGTGCTAGCCTTCACCATCACTTTGCTTTGTTTTACAGAATAGGAAGTGATCTTTCTAGAATGGTTAGATGAAGGTCATCTGATCCCAAACTGGAAGAGGGAGGACATGTTTCCCTAGCAGCTAGAGAGAGAGAGCATTAGACCGGGAGCCAAAGAGACATGTCTGAGACCACCTGCCACTTTTAACATTTCGGTATGCAAAGTGGGGTTCTGGCCTGTTCGCCAGGAGAACGAGGACACTAGATTGCCTAAATGGCCCTGCCAAACCCGGTGGGCAGCGCTCTATCTCTGGGTGGACGTGGGCAGGTGCAGTCCCCTTTTGGGTCCCAGCTGCCCCATCTTTAAGAGGGAAGACCTGGACGGGAGGATGCTCCCAGGGAGTGTTCTAGTCCCGGTGCCGCCCAAGCTGGTGTCCCCCGGGCCTCACCTGAGGTACTCATAGAGCCCATACATGGGCAGGAAGTCGATGTCAGACAGGAACATGTAGGGCGTGCCCACGTGCTTCATGGCCACGTTGCGTAGCAGGTTCACAGGGTAGAACTGGCCCTCCTTGTACACGATGTGGTAGGCCACGTTGTGGCGGCTCATGAGCACCTCGGAGCCCTGCGCGTAGCGGAGGAACTGCTGGGCTTCGGCGTCCGACAGGTAGAGGGCCAGGCTGATGGGTCCCTCCCAGTGCTTGCAGATGGCCTCGAGCATCTGGAGCCTGGAGGAGACAGGAAAGCTGAGCCCGCCGTGGGGACCTGGGCCACGCACCACGCGGCCAGCCTCCTGGGGCCGGACGCCACCTCCACAGACACCTGGTCAGCCCGCTCCAAATCCAAGTCCCTGCTCTAACCTGCATCACTGTGTGATGGGGGCCAACCCCCAAAGCTCAGTTCCTTTCATCTCTAAAATCGGCATAAACACACTTACCTGGCTGTTTCTTGTCTTTATCTGCTTCCAGATGAAGGTGGGATACCGACAGAGTCGCATCCCACTGTAAGCGTTCTCTTCTCAGACTCCTTTTTCCATGGGGGGGGGATGGGGGACGGGACGATTACATTAACTGATGTAAGGGTCCCCTTCCAGCTCACAACACCTATGCCTCTCCTCTCTCAGCAAAGATGTCTCGCAGCTGCCCTGTTCTGCTAAAGCAGGGACCAGCATAGAAGATTTAGCCAAACTGAGGCCCTAAGTTACAAGGAGCATTAAAACACGAGTGATGACAACTATGATCACCAACTCATTAACTATGCACCAGACCCTTTCCAGAACTCCCCCAACAACCCTGTGCACGGCTGTAATTTCCCTCATTTCCCTGATGGAGAAACTGGGGATCCAGATGTCCGGTCAGCTTGGATCCTTGGACTTGGACCAGACCCTTCCAGACGGGTACCGGGACAGGGCCTTGGCGACAGTGAGAACAAACACACACTGGGCGTTTGGCAAGGGAACCAAAAAACACGTGAACGCGAGGGACAAAAGTGTGCCTGGCGTGATGCTGTCTTCATTTGTCAGAGCCCTTACTGCCCCAGGGTCCCGGCCAATTTTTCGAGGCTACAAGAAAGGCACAGTGCCAAGGATTATGGGGCGGGGGGTGGGGAGGGAGAAGAAAGCCCAGAGAAAAAACCAAAAGGTGCTTCCAATGGAGAGGATTCTACAAAAATGTTTGAAGAGAAATCTATGAAGATTTTTTTTTCCCCCAAAGGCATTAGAAGTGCCTGGCAGATCAGATCTATGGTTAAGAAACCGCAAAAGCCTATTTCAATTTTTTCCCTACCCAGCAAGAGGTACATAATCAGCGGTCTCCTGGTAGGAATGCCCACTTTATTCGGACAATTACCAGGAAATAGATTCCATGCATTTCCCTGCTTCTAAACAAAAGAAAATGGGCACACCTATCTTATGTCAGTGGCTTTCTCGGTGGACTTTCAGAGTTTCCTCTCTATAATTCTGTGAATTGCTATTGCCAGGAGTTGCTTCCTCTTTCATGATGGAGGATTAAGATATTCATCAGGGTAAAATGCCCCCCATTTCTCATACTTTAGAACACTTACTAATCAAATTGCCCGGAGCCAGTTTTCTAAGAGGCTCTGCCTTCTCCACAAGGCCGACTTGCCCTGGGATCTGCGTTCGGCTTCTGCCGCAGGCCCGGGTCTCTGCTGGGCTCCGAGAACCTGGGGTTTTGAGTGATCCCACCCGCACCTCACTTTCGCTGTCTGTGAAATGGAGGGGACTGTGCATTCGGAAGGGACAGCTGTTCGTACAAATCCTTTGAGATCTGGGGAGTGAAGGGCAAGAGCGCTTTCTAACATGTGGATGTAAGAGCTCCCGTGTGGGAGGCACGCGTGTCTGGTGGGAAGAGAGGCCAGCTCCCACGGTGGAGCGCCCCCCCCCCACCACCGCCTGGGATTTTGACTCTGTGTCTGAGTTTTCTGAGCAGGGAGCAAGAAAGAGAAGCAAGGGAAGCTGGCTCTTCTTCCAAGCTCTGCCAAGGGTTTAGCGTGAGAACAGGGACACAAGATCCTCAAGGTTCTCAGGTGCTGCTGACGTGGGAAACATCATATCTGTGTGGGCTTTACCGGAAATGGTGCCAGATGTTCCGTGGAACCTCCTCGAAGGAAGAGTCAAGATGACCCAGCCACTCCTGCCCGTCTGCCACCAGCCCCCAGCTTTGCGACCTCTCTTCCCTCAGAACCAAGCTTCCTGCCGGGACCTGAACAACAGCGACAGACTGAGATGTATCATAATGATGATAACATATAAAATGTGATGGCGATAGAATAAATCTCTACCGTTTCTCTGCTACTTGGAGTGGGCCGGGTGCATTTCCACGGTTACTGCTTTCAACATTCACACTGACTCTATAAAGTTGAGATTCTCATCATTGTTACAGGTAAGGAAGCTCGAGGAGGTGAAGTGACTTCTTTCGAGTCACGTAGTGACACAGCGGGGGAGCTGGATTGACACCCAGGTCTGTCCGACCCCAGTGCCCAGAACCCAGACTGGTGTTCCGTATGGACTGCGGGGCAGGCTGGGATAAATGTCCCCAAGGATCTTCTCTCCACTGCCCGTCTCCCCAGACACGAATGTGTTCTTCCCTTGGGGTCAGCTTCTGTGCTTTCTTTCCTCCTCCTCCTCAGTCTCTCTGGGGGTCTGCCCCAAAGACCTGCCACTCTCTTGACCCTTCTCCTGGCTGTGTGTCCCCACACCTGCACCCTAAAGTTGTCCTGTGTGGCTCACGTCCACACGGAGTTCTGTGCCGAGTCGGTCTTTGGTCTCTTACACCGGATGATAAAGTACGTAGCACAGCAAGGACCGGGGACAAGGGAGAGTGTTTCAAGAGACAAAGATTAATTCCCAAACGACAGAATTTTCCATTTGGAAAGAACTGTAGAGGTTTTCTTGGTCTGACCATGCCATCTTGATGATGAAAAAGCTCAGCCTCGGAGGGGAGCATGAAGAGCACTGGGTGAGTGAGTGGAGGGGCTAGTGAGCACTGGGACTCACGGTCCCAACTCTGGGTCCCATGCTCTTCTCCGTGTCCCCAGAGGGCCCACCATCACTTCACGCTGCCAAGAGGAGGGCAAAGGCTCAAGAAAGGCCAAAGAGATGTCGGGACGGTCTAGCTGGAAGCCAGGGCTACCCCTGGGAGTCCTACTGAGCCAGGAAGCCTCGTGCGCTCTGTCTAGGGGACAGGGGAGGCAGCCAAGTCAGAAACCTACAAGACTGGGTTGGAAGGAATTCTAGAAGGCCAGTTGGCCTCCGCTGGATTGGGGAGCTCCCTCCCTACAAGGCAGCTGATGAGAGCAAGGCGGGTTGCATGGGATGGAGGTGCAACGGTGGGCTCTCGGGTCAGCCAGAACTGGGTTTGAACTCTGAGCTGTGTCAGCATCCCTGAGCAAGAGCTGACAGTTCCTTTGGCTGAGATCAAGTGAAGAGATGACAGTTCTTTGGGCTTCCATTTCCACATGTGCATAGCGTGGACAGTAATACCTCCGTAGATCACAAAATGGCTACAAATCATTTCTCTCTCAATCTGCAGCCTCTGCGGATACTCCCCACACTGATTCTGGGATGGCCTTGTGACTTGCTCACACAGGACACAGGACACAGTGCTCTGGCGGCAGGGTTTGCCCCTACTGACAAGCCCGCTTACCATGCTTCTGTGAAGTGACCGGCACAAAGCGAGATATGCAGCAGGTACTCAATAGATGGCAGCTGTAATTTCTTCCACAGGTTCTATTTCTGCTTTTCAAACATGCACCCCCCCCCCCATCAGATACTTATTATGTATCTACAATGTGCAGGTGTACGTGCTGGGCCCTGGGACGAACGAGATAGACAAAGTTCCTGACCTTCCGGAGCTTCTTTCTGGTGGAGGGAGAAGACACAGAACCAACCAAGACAGATTCCGAGGGGGCGAGGGCTAACGAGGCAAGCAGAACAGGGAACAGGATGGGGGAACCCTGAGGACTGGCCAGGGAAGGCCTGCCGGGGATGTGAATTTGAGACTTGGATAAGGAGACGGACCCAGCCCTGAGGAAGTCTGGGCAAGAAGCTTTCCAAGGAGAGGGAGCAGCTCTTGGGGTAACTGAGGGTAGCGTGTTCAAGCAAGAAGAGGGGAAGATGGGCGAGTGAGGGGCAGGAGGACAGAAGATGCTGGGGAGCCGGCAGGTGACATGGGGCCGGGAAGGCCACGGAGGGAGCTGTAGTACTATCCTAAACGCCAACTAGAAATCATCGGAGAGTTTTAAAGATGCTGACCTGATAGACAGACGGTCCCCAGCTTATGATGGGTTGACTTAATAATTTTTCAACTTTACGACGGCGCGAAAGTGATATGCATTCAGTAGAAACCGTGCTTCGTGTTTTGAATTTGCATTTTTTTCCCCAGGCTGTCAATATGCAGTAGGGATGCTCTCTCTTGATGTTGGGCAGCCGTCGCCACGGCTCCCGGTTATCCCCGGGATCACAGGGTCAACAACTGATACACCGACAATCACTCTGCACCCAGACAAGCCATTCTGTTTCTCACTTTCCATACAGTATTCCATAAATTGCATGAGACAGTCAACATTTTATTATAAAATAGGCTTTGTGTTAAGATGATTTTGCCCAGCTGTAGGGCAATGTAAGTGTTCTGAGCACGTTTAAGGTTGGCGAGGCTAAGCCAGGACACTTGGTAGGGTAGGTGTATTAAATGTATTTTCGACTTATGGTATTTTCAGCTGGTGATGGGTTTATTGGGCTATAACCCCATCCACCATAAGTCAAGGAAGATCTGTCTATTTTTAGAAGATCACTCTGGCTGTTACATGGACAAGCGAGTTCCCTTTCACTTTCTAGAACAGTGCTTTTCAACCTGAAGCATGCTCAAGATCACTACAGCACTGATTCCTGGGCCCCACTCTAGAGGTGCCCGTCGGCTAGGTCTGGGTGGGACCAAGATTTTGTATTTCCAACGAGCTCCCGGGTGATCTAAAGCGTGGGCCCCTTTACCTCAGCTAACGTTCTCTTTCCTCCGCTCACAGAAAACAGAGAAGACCCATCTGCCACGTGATCCCCTGGAGCTGCACTTAGTACTTCGATAACTTTGTCAAAGGAACACAGAAGAGCAAGCGTCTCCTGGCCAGATGGCCAGGATGCTGTGACCCGGAGCCCTCCTGGCCAGCCCCCTCTGTCCCGAGACCGTTCTCACCTGCTGCTGGGATGGGAGGGCGGTCTCCCGCGTGCTGGAAGAGGAGCTGGCTCCACGGTTGTAGCGGGCAACGTTCATTCTTTCTCAACAGAATTCTAGAGGGACCCGGGCACAGGAGCCCACACACCAGCTCCCCTAATTCATTGTGGCATTCACGTAGGGCCTGCTTCTGACTCAAAGGTTTACAAACACACCCGAAATGTTTCTTCAATTAAAAATCAATCCAACAGGCACCAGTCAGCCTGCTGCATCATAATTGGATGTGCAGGATGGAGCAGAAGGAGGAATTCTCACCATCTCCATCAGCCTGTGGTACTGCTCTATGATTTTTTATTATGTTCTGCTAAGTCGCTTGCGTTAGGGTGTGGAAGTCCTCGGGCTCTCTGGGGTATTGTCAGGATGGCAATACTTGTCACAACGCGTTAGGGGCGAATCGTGCGCCTGCCATGCCGAGGGATGCGTGCGCTTTGAAGGGAAGGGCTCTGCGGTTAGCGTCTGCGGCAGACGTGAGAGGGGCCAGGGTTTTCTTTTAAGCGGGCTGGGAGGGAAGGTGCTGCCGGGGGTCCTGCCTCCAGCCGGCACTAGAAGGGAGGGGCTCTGTTTTGCCTGTATCCTTTTATTGATGGCGACTGTCTACAGAGGGATGGATTTGGGGTGTTAATAATTGAAAAACCTTTCTTTCTAATTGTCTGTGCATTCCAGATTGCGAATTCCATAGCTAGCACAGAGGTTAAAAAAAAAAAAAAAACTATGAAGGAAAGGGAATCTAATATTTGCTGTAGACCTACTAACCACTGGGCACTTTAGAGCCTCTTATTTTATAAAACCCAGACACCGATCTGTGACCTTGACGGTATCATTGCCACTTCACAGATAAGTCGGATGATGCTCAAAAAGCCTGGGTAACTTGCCCAAATTCACACAGCTAGTAAGTGGTGCAGCTGGACTTTGAACCCAGATATTTCTCTTTTTGTTTTCCTGCATCACTTTACCTCTCCTAAATACCGACCATGTGCAGATGCTGTGGTCAGGGTTTTCAGATCTGTAAATATTCACTGAATCCAAATATATGCCAAGGGCTTTCGAACACAGTCTCTCCTTTAATCCTAATCAGGACCCTAGGAGGCAAATATGTATTAACTCTCTTTATAGAAGGAGAAAGATAACCAAAGGTGTTGATGACCTGCCCAAGATCACCATTGGAGGAGTAAAGGAGCCCGTGGGATTTGAACCCGGAGCTCTTTGTGAGTCTAGTGGCCTTTTGTGCAGGAGCACAAATAGGAAGACTTTGGTCAATGGTGCTATCAAATGATAGGGAGCCTCTGACTGTATGTTGGGGCTAAGTCCTGGCTATGCATGATCTCACCTAGTCATGACAACAACCTTGGGGGGGGGCTACTGTCATTGCCAATCCTGGGTTACAGATGAGGAAACCAAGGCTGGGAGAGCTGGTTTGTCCAAGGGTCAAAGCCAAGAAGTGGCAGAGCCACCAAGACCGCACAGGGCCTGACTCCAGGGACCAAATTATTCAAGGTCAGGCCACTTGATTCTGATTAGAAAGCATGTTGGATTTATCTCTTTCATTTTCCCCTGAGTTTGGAGGTACCCATTGGCTACTAATCTTGATTCAGCATATTTTGTTGATAAACGGAACGTATGAACAGGAGGCGTGAACGGGACCAAGAAAAACCAGGGATGCTCTATGAGGTGAGAACCTGGAATTATCTGGAACTCACTCACCTGGGCAGATGCAGTCTCTGAGCTTCAGGTAACCCATCTGAGGGGCCTGAAGGGCATTTGTGTTGCCTGAAGAACAGAAGACTAATCTCAGCCATCATTCAGCACGAATCTCAAGGACTGGATTTTATTTTCATTTGAAATGGCAGAGAGGATAAGAGAAGAGACATAGGAAGAGAGGTCTGCTAACAGCCCTGTCGCTCGCTCAAGTGCTGCCTGGTGGGGGAGTGTGCGTGCCCAAACTGAAGGCTGGGTGAGAAGCCAAAGGGACACAGAAGTTTAGGCGTGAGTCTGGGGCTCTGGTCTAGCTCAGTCCCTTATGGAGCCTCACTGATGGGTTTGAGCCGGCGGGAGGCCACCTGTCCTGGTTTCCCCTGTGCCCTCTGTAAACCCATCTGCTCCCCTCTTTCTCACCCACACCTTAAGCTCTAACCACACTAGAGCCTGTGTGTTCCCAGCGGGCCTGGGGGCCTCTTTGTTCCCTGAATATGCTGCATGCTCCACCTTCTCTCCCTGTGTGCTTTCTACAGGCCGTCTACTCGCGCCCCCAACTCAATGCAGGAAACACCTCCCCTTGGACCCATTCCCTGTCTCTTCCTTTCTCCACCGCCCAGACGGGCTGGGGGATCCTCCCACAGAATCTCTCTAGAGTAAGAACCTGTTACCTGTCTGGGGCAGGCTGAATTCTAAGCTGGCCCCCCCCCACAAATCCTGCCCCATGGCATACACACTTGTACAACCCCCACCCTTGAGTGTGAGCCGAACCCAGTAATGGGATGGAATGCCACTCCTGTGGGTTACGTGATGGAACAGCCTGCAGAGAGTCTCCTGCTGGCTTTGAAGAAGTAAGCTGCCATGCTGTCAGAGGGCCACATGGCTAAGACCTAAGGGTGGCCTCCTGTTGCTCAGAAGGACCCCAGCCAATGGCCAGCAAGGAAACGGGGACTTCAGTCCTAGAACTGAATTCTGCCAAAAGCTGAATGAGCTTAGCGGTGGACCCTGACTCCCATGAGATCACAGCCCCAGCCAACACCTTGATGGTAGTCCTGGGAGCTGAGCAGGGGACCCTGCTAGCACCCATCCAGACTCCAGACCCCCCAAACTGCAAGATACTAAACGTTATTTAAGCTGCTAAATCTGTAGCAATTTGTTCTACAACAGTAGATAACTAATACACTGAGTCATGAAGATGCTATCTACTCCTTGAAAGCAAAAATAGGGTCTTCTTATAAATATCCCCAGCTTCACAAGAGCCTGGCACACCACAGTAATAGATGCTTACACAGTATTTGCTGAGCGGTCACGTGAATGTTGGAGATTCGGAACCTGAGGCCACAAGAAGGGAAAGACTTTGCTTGAGGTCACATAGCAGGTCAGGATGGAGCTGGTACGAGCAGCTCTGTGCTTTTCCCCTTTGTCCCCGCTCATCTTTACCTGCTACCTGTTACGTTCAGCAAGTTCTCTGTGTTTCTGCACAGAGGTCCTGAGGCCTATGAACCTCCAGGAAAACCCCAGCCAATGGAGCCATTGAATTTCACCAGTGAGCTTCCGCCAATGCACAGTGGGACTCTCAAAGTGAGGAATCTGCTTCCATCTGTTACGCTCTACGTAACTCATTCCCGGATGTCTCTGGATGCAAGGTTCTACTCACTCCTCCCAACTCCCAGACCACTTTCTGCATGTGAACCTTTTCATGTCCGAGTGCTTGCTCCTTCACTGGTTTGCCCGTGCTTTACTCCCTCCCCACTAATAACAAGCGGTATTTATTGAACACTTAACAAGTGTACCAGGTACTGCTCTCAGCATGCCACAGGCGTGAACTCATTTAATCCTGGAAACATCCCATGGAGTTGCAGCCATAGACTGGACAGGCATCTCCAAGGTGACTCAAAGACAGAATGAGCCACTCAGATTGCCTAACTGTGGGAGCTGAGGGGCAACGTAAGGAAGGAAATTGGGGATAGAGGAAATGTGTAAATCGAAGAGAAAGCTGGTGGGCCGAGGTGGGAGGGAGACACACAGGACACCCAGTATGGAAAAGTACAGCCTTGAGGGGGTGACCTCGGGGCTTTGAATCCACACACCCCTGGCAACGAGAGAGACGCTTTCAAAGACATAAATTGGATCATATAACTTTGTGTAAATGTAACTTCTCACCACACTGAGAATAAAATCCAAAATGTTTTGGTGAGTTTCTAATGTTCTATAATCTTAATCTCACACCATATCCCTGCTTTGCCTCAGCCACTGCTCTTCTACCATGTTTTTGAATGTCCGAGCCCCCTCCCACCACAGGGCCTTTACGCTTGCTATTTTATCCACCTGGAAAAAAAATTTTTTTTTTCTCAGCAACTCACATTCCTGACTCCTTTTCTCCTCCTTCAGGTCTCTGCAGGAATGTCCCCTCCTTAGATTTCCCCTGACCACATCACCCAAGGAAGGTCCCTCTCTTGACATTGTTATTATCAATCTCAGTTCCTTCCAAAGAACTTATCACAATTATAATAATTTTACTCAACTATTTATTTTCTGTTCATACCGCTGTACTTATGTTCTTAACCCTGGCTGCACACCACAAGCGTAAAACAATGCAAGGTCTTCACCACACAAATATTCTTACTTAACTGGTCTGCAATGGAGCTCGAAGGTGCATTTGTTTTAAGAGCTCCCCAGGTGATTCAGTTTGGCCCCAGCCAAGGTTGACAATCAGTGCACTAGAGTGTCAGCCACATAAGGGCGGGGATCACATCAATACTTCCAGATAAAGGCTTGGTAGATGTTTGTTGCATCAATACACTAAGGAAAAGAAACAGCAATTGCTTTCCAGCAGTGATAGTGGTTCCAGAATATGTGTTTCCCTATAATACACCCCTTTTCCTTAAGGTAGTTTGAGTAGAGCTCTACTCTTTAGAATCAATTCTTCTTTTATTCTCAAAACCACCACCCTCACCGGAAGACAAGAGCCCTTGGTTTTCAGTGCTGGAGAGGAGCACGACCCAAGCCTAAGTCTGTCAGACCATCTCTCCCTTTTCCCTTTGACTGGGTGTAGAGCAGCAGGGTGGGGCTGTGGGGAGGTCAGGGCCCGTCTGCCTACCTGTCCATGGAGAGTTGAGCGACCAGGGTGACATCCGTGTTGTCCGAAACGGGCTCATACTCATAGTGCAAGAAGTACAGGTGGGTTCGGTGGACAGTGAACCGCTCTCGCCGGAACTCATAACACAGGTCATCCTCATCGAGCTCAGAGAGCTGCTTCTGGAGCTGAAATGTAGGAGAAGAGGGTATGGGACCAAGAAGGGAAGCCCCAAGGAGCCAGGAGCCTGCCCTTGCCTGAGATGGTTACTCATTGGATGTTGGCGATGGGTCAAACATGGGAGGACAGGATCACTGGTTTTAGCTTCCTCTGCAATTTAATTTTAAAAAGGCAATGATGAAGGGCAGTTGTCCTCGCCATCTGAGAAACAAGCACCCTCTTAGCTGAGAATGATGGTGGTCACCACTGACAAATACATAAGCAACCACAAACTCCTTAAAAACAAACAAAAAATGCTTTGGTAGGTGACCTAGTACAATTCCAAATAACAGGGAAGAAAGTACCAAAATCCAAATGGGGCAGTGCCTTTGCATGAGCTTCTCTCCTGCCTAGAGCTACAGACTTCAATCTCTGTAGCAGGTATTGAAGAAAAAGACTAAACCAACCCATAAACAAAATCTAAAAATCTGTTCCTTTCATTTCAGCCAAGTCTTGGCATCCACTCTTCTTTCTTGTTTCTAACTCTCGGGAAGTCCTGCTCCCTTAATCTGCTGGTAGAAGTTCTTTACATAGCTCTACTTGCCTTCCTACCCCAACCAGTGCAAGAGCTGGTTGACCTGCCAACAGTCCTGCCAACAGGACAATATCAACAAGCCAACAGGTTGACCTGCCAACAGCACAATATCCAGATCTGAGGATGTGCAGCTGCCAATCCACAACCATGTCATGCCAACCCCATCATATCCCTCCCAGGCAGGGGTGACTGGGCCTGCTTCACAGATGATTTGCGATGAAAAAGTAAAAGAACTTCAATAGGGCTAGAAATCAGATCACTGAATGCGTGGGGGCAGAGTGGATAGATTGGGAAGAAGCAGGAGAGAACTTTTTTGGGGGATGGAAATGTTCTATGTCATGGGTACAGTCATGGTTACAAGGGTGTATACATTTGTGAGAAGTCAACAAACTACACACTTAGAATGGGTGGATTTATTATATGCAAACTATATTTCAAATGAATTTGCCAAAGGTCATATGGATGGTTCTAATATTTTTTCTGTGACATCAGCCTAGTCCATTACACGATGGCAGATAGTTGAATGTAGATTATAGTTTACATGGCTAGAGCTACTAATCTAGCTGAATGTAACAGACCAGTTTTCCAAGAAGAATGTGTACATATATTTTAAATCTCCAAGCCAAGAGTGTAGTAAACAAGAATTATATTAACTCACTTCTGTATGACCCTGTCTCAGTTAAAACCATTGTCTTCATAGATATAGCTACATTAAACTATAGCCTTATTTCTCAAGATATGTGTGACAGCACATGACTGCGTTAATCCCTTCCATTCTTCACCCCCTCCCACATCTCTACTCTTTATCATGAGACTTGATGTGGCTAATAAAATGGTAAGGAAGCAACACTGCCCTAATAGTGAGACTAGGCCTCAAGAACTGTGTGTTTCTTTTTTTTTTTTTTTAAAGATTTTATTTATTTATTTGACAGAGAGATAGAGAGAGAACACAAGTAGGCAGAGGGAGAGGGAGAAGCAGGCTCCCCGCAGAGCAGGGAGCCCGAAGCAGGACTCGATCCCAGGACCCTGGGATCATGACCTGAACCTGAGCCGAAGGCAGCCACTTAACCGACTGAGCCACCCAGGTACCCAAACTGCGTGTTTCTTTTTTTTTTTTTTAAGATTTTATTTATTTGACAGAAAGAGACACAGCGAGAGAGGGAACACAAGCAGGGGGAGTGAGAGAGGGAGAAGCAGGCTTCCCGCTGAGCAGGGAGCCCGATGCGGGGCTCGATCCCGGGACTCCAGGATCATGAACTGAGCCGAAGGCAGTCGCTTAACCAACTGAGCCACCCAGGCGCCCCCAAACTGCGTGTTTCTTGAACCTCCAGCACTACCATGAGAAAATGCCTGGGCGGCCCGCTGGAGGATGAGACACACCTGGAGTAGAGCAGAAGCTCTACAATTGCCCCAGGTGTGGGAGCAAGCCCAGCCAAGCTCAGCTCAGCTGCCGCGATAAACACTTCTCACTGTATTCCACTGAGGTTTTACAGGTTGGGAGCCATAGATAACTGACAGGGGGTCACTGGCATTTTGTGCAGGGAGCTTTTGCATTATGCTACCTGTCCCATATATCCCCGAACAGTTAGCCTCCTGGGCCCCAGCCCACTAAATGCTTGTAGAGTTCTCCAGACAGCCTCGTACAACTCCAAATGCACCCACCTACTTCCAAATGCCACTTGGGGGATCAGTGGAGATTCAGTGATCGAGGAGATGTTCTTATCCATCATGAAGATTTTTAACTGTTAACAAGGATGCAATCAGGGAGACTCTCCCATTTTTGAAGTTTGATTTGAAGTCCTGGCCTATTTGAAGATTCATGTAAGCCCAGGACATGGGAATTCTCATTCCGTCTAATATTCTAGGAGCCAAGGGACCCCTTCTGACCTGCAGGATTAAATCCAGGTCCTTGCTGACAATCATATCCTCTCTCTCTGACCCATCACCACCACCCCCCAACCCCGTGTCCTCTGTATTTGCACCAGGGATCTCTCTGCTCCCCGAACCTGCCTTTCCCTCTTTCCCTCTGTGACGCTGTATATGTTCTTCCCTCTCTACTCTCCTCACCTGCTCTTCTCCACTAGGGGACCTTCTATTTACCTTTCAAGATTCAGCCTGGATGACACCTCGTCTGAGACCTCTGTTAGCCCTGCCAGGTAGAGCTGGTCCACTTCTCCGTGCCTCAAGAGCCCTCAATTCATAACTCCACTAAAGCACTTGTCAATTTGAACTGAAATTATTTAAGGGCAACTTTCCTGGTGACACAGTGACACTTTACCATTGCCCCTAGCACCGGGCCCACGGTATGACAGATGCTTAATATTCATGTGCTGCATGCATGAGAAATATCTGCTACACGAAGACTGTAATCATTAGAAGGCCTGTCTTTCTAATTTTCCCATCGTATCCTCTAATGTTATGCATAGAAGGTGATCATCCTTAAGCCCATTATCTGGTCCGATATTTGCAGTTCAAAGGTCTGTGATGGCTGAAAATGTGCTGGACAGCAAACAAGCATGCACATGGCTCTGTGCAAGGTGCTGGGTACGTGTTATCCCTTCCCTTGGAGCCCTCCAGTGAGACATGTGCAGCCTCATTTGACAGCTGAAAAGCAGTTTCAAGATCTTGAGGTCACTCAGGGAGGTCAAACTGGGGCCTGTGTCCTTCTACTACCGAGCTACCTCTCCAGGAAAGATGCTCATTCCGCCTTGGGTCAAGAAGCACACAAGCACCGTGGCTGAGGTGACGGGTTCTATCCCACTCCTGTCTGTACAGTCTTGGGCGAGTGGGTGAGGTACTTAACCCTTCTGAGCTTCAACTTCCTCAAGTGTAAAATGGGGAAGATAATAGGAACTACCCAGGGGGTTGTAGGAGGGTTCCAGGAGATTCTGCATGTGCAGAGTACAGTGTTTGGAATAAAGACACAGCAGACGTCATCTATTACCATGGTGGTTATCAGAGTTCAGAAGGGGAGACACCTGGGTGGATGCTTTCTGTCCTCAGCCACCACCTGGAGGAGACAGTAGGGTGAGGGCAGGGAAAGCAGGAGTCTCACTGAGCCTGGATAGCACTTCTGTCTCATGAGTGTTGGAGATACTCGCACATCTTCCTCCTTGAGGAACCCAAATATACCTAGAAACTATAATGTAGCCCCCCAATGGGGAACTTAACCAACTCATACCCTCCTTCTCTCTCACCCACACTGCAAAAGAACATTCGCAATTATTCCCTTTTAGAGAATAAGTATCTGCAAAGCTCTTTGCAAAAGCAGGGTTGTTTTTTTTGGGGGGGGGGTTGATTTGTGTGGTGTTTTTAATGTGTTGACAGGAGTGCATGGCTTCAGTTCAGTGAAGACAGGAGTGGGAACATGTGAGGACGGGTATAGATGTGTGTGTGTGGGGGGGATCTTTCTTTGATGAGCCTTCAAAGAGAAGGTATCCTCACCATGTGAGAAAGGAAATTAGTGGCCAGAGCATGAGCAATGCATGCGTGTATTGAGTCAGGAAAAAAACAACATTCCAAGGTAAATAGCTCCAGGAGCCATTTTCTGAAAAGCACCCATATATAGTGGGCTCCTCAAGGCAGGAGCTGTATCGCATTCATCTCTCAATTTCCTGTACCTAGAACATCTAGAGCACCCTGTGTACACAACAGGTCTCTACTGGATGTACTCACAGCCATGTACTCATGTTAAAGAAGGAACAGTGACCAATGAAAGTGCTCCCAGAACTATCAGAGCATGGCCTGACACGGTCGGGAGGGTCTACCAGCAGTCCTGGGGGATAAGTAGCCTCTATGAACTTCCTGGTACCAGTGATGTGGTTCAGTGGCATCCACATCCCGAGGTCACCTGTGGCCATCACAGTGCTTTAGGGGTAGGGTCTAGGGAATACTGTTGTCTATCAACCACACTGGGTATTGTGGCAAAAGCACATCAACTATGATGTCCGACATATGATGTCAAAATCTATGGGACTCTGGACCAACCAGATTGCCTTCCTTGAGTTTAATGTTATGAACATTCTCAACATGGCGGTTTGTACCTTTGCTCAGCTAATATGGATGAAGCACCTGCTCCGTCCAGGTGCAGTGCTAAATGCTTTCAGGTGGATTGCTTTATTAATTTAATCCTTGAGCACACATCTCTGTTTTACAAAGGAGGAAACTGAGGCTCAGAGGATTTCAAAAATCTGCCAGTTACACGGCTAGGGAGAAGCAGTTCTGGACTGAGAATCCAGTCTTGGGACCTCACACCAGGGCAATCTTTGCAGTGTGGTGACTCCTCTCCCAGGGGATGGATGCAAGGATCAAAGAGACGGTGGAAGACACAATGCTCCATGAAAAAGCAGGCCATAAAAATGCGTATGCAGTATGATCCCAATAGAGCAGAGAGACAAACAAACAAAAAGTCACATAGAAAACAGACCAAAGGGA